TGACTCCTTACCCACTGTCATCTTTCCATCCCACACAGCGGGCGGCCAGAAAGTGTCTTCGTGGTGCGTCCTTTAGTCAGAGCAGTCTTCAGGTATACGAGCTCCAGGGGTACCTGCACAACATGCAATCAACACTTCACAAGGGGATAGCTGAACTCCATTCTGACAGGCAGACAACAGTGATTCCTGAATTCAGATAATTGATGCATTGCAATCATAAGATAGAGTCTGACAACAATTTGAGACCTTCTATGAAGTTGGGGAATGTGGGGCCATCCACCAATGCACCGAGGGCATGGGGGGGCGGACCCGGATTTTCGCGCTCGTGAACGCGAACGGAAACGGAAAGTCTCACGCTGTTTCGCTGCTGCTGCAGGTACAAAGGTCCAAGCGTTCGAGAAGCTAGCGCTCAAAATCCGATGAAAGAAAATGCGCCGATTATTTTCCTTCCTACGGTTAAAGTACCTGCTGATTTTACCGCGCCTCCTGCTAGCACCCTTTGACGCTACCTCCTTCGTTCTCCTTCGGCTACCTTGGCCCCAGACCCGATCACTTTTTTACCCCTTTATTCCACCCATCCTGATGCTAGGGGGGGGCCAGATTGCCCTAATGCTTCGGAGGTTCAGGCCCAAGGAGGGCGATATTGCGAGGATGGCTCTGAGTTGGGGTTGGACGTACCACTTTCCATAGGCCGCAATTTCTCCGCGCCGGTTGCTTTGCCCCATGGCTTATCCAATTGTCCGCTTGGATCGACAGACAGTGCTGCGGCTAATCAAGGGTGAGTGCTTGCGCCTGCTCACCCTTGTAAGTTCGCAGCCCGTCAGGGTTGCGTTTTCCCCCCTGAGACATTCAACGTTCAACGTCAATTTCAACGACGGTGGTCGTCGGGAGGGTGGGCATTTGAGGTTTTAGGGCCTTGCAAGGGCCAGGAACGCGTAGGACCGGTATCTGCAAGTAGGAGGCCGTGGAGGCCGCAGTCCTTTTTCGAAATTGAAACGGTGCGGGTAGTCCTTTTTCGAAATTGAAACGGTGCAGGTCCTACACGTTGTATTCGAATACAATCTGTACCCTTTTTATTCGGATTTCGAAAAGAAAAACCTCTTGTATTCCGATAAAATTACTTCTTCTTTTTGTTGGAGGTCAGTGCCTGCCCTTGTGCTCCCCGTCACTGACATGCTGCATGCTGCAGCTTTCTCTCTCTCTCTCTCTCTCTCTCTCTCTCTCTATATATATATATATATATATATATATATATATATATCACACACACACACAAACACACACACACAAACACGCACACACACACACACGCACGCGCACACACACGCACGCGCACTCTCTCTCTCTCTATATATATATCGTCAAATAGAACTGCCCGGTAAACCGTAGGCAGAGAGGGAGAAGAGGACAACAAACGAGGGGCTGTGACAATATATATATATATATATATATATATTGTCACAAACAGAACTGCCCGGTACACCGTAGGTAGAGAGAGAGAAGAGGACATATATATATATATATAT